CTCATACACGTCCAATTGCAGGGCTGTTTACAAACGGAAAACGGAGAGACTGTTCGGGAGAGCTTGTGAAAACTCGACGATAAGGTACCTGACCGCCCCTAAATTTTTCTCAACGGATTTAGACGATTCACAAAAATGATCAATTTAAGAAATAAAACGGCGGATTTCCGTGGATCCGCGGAAAATTGCCATCTATGAATAAATGACCACTAAATTGAATTAAAACAAAATTTGGGAACTGACCTTCAAACTCCCAACAAGAAACCCAGGATAAATAACACAGAAATTGAACGAGTAACGGGAAGTACATTTCTGGGAGTACAATGAGATAAATTCTCATTGATAACCAAAGGAGAAAATTGTGACTGTAATTCACGATTATGCATCAAATATGAAAAGCATGAGCCCACTTTGTATCTCCCAAATGTATTTTGAGAGTTTCTATGCCGCTCAATATGACTTACTGTATGTGTTTCTGTCAAGGTGTTAAAAGTCAAAATGAAGAATCTGGCTTGGCTGCTTCTGTACGCACTGATCACCCTGTTCTGCCATACAAGAGCACTGTCCCAAGTTGCTGTTTATGGCGAACGGGGATCTGATCTTGGTATTAAAGTGTTTCAACAAGTCGTCCGCTCCAAGCCTCTGGATAATGTGGTCCTTTCACCTCATGGAGTGGCCTCTGTCCTTGGCATGCTGCTACCAGGAGGTCATGGGGAAACCCGCAGGCAAATCCTCAGTGCTCTCCGATACAAGAAAAACGGTTGGGGTGATTCAAGTCCGCAAGATTTTCTGAGTGAAGTTGAGAGACTTGTAAATTATGTTGAGGGCCATTTTTTTCATTTGCACAGGACCTTACAGAATGTTGAAGAAACTGCACAAGACCTTAACCGCTAAGTCCAACCAGGATGCCATTCTCATTGCCAACGGCATGTTCTCCCCAAAGGGCTTCCCCATGCAAAAGAGCTTTGTTGACATCAACAAAGCTAACTTCCAGGCTGAGAGCAGGAGCGTCGATTTCAGTGACACCCAAAAGGCAGCAGATAAGATCAATGCCTGGATCAGCAACAAAACTCGAGGCAAGTCTTGTTATGAACTGCAGCAGATCTCTCAATTAATTTTTTTCTTTAACGAGGCCTTCTGTTTTATGTCTTCTAACAAACGGCGTCTTTTTGGGGTTGAATGCGACATTCTTACATCACCAAGAAAATACACAGAAAGGCTTGTTCTGTTTCTACAAATGTATCACTGCGAATGTTAACAAACTACCTCCGCTGTTCGGCAAAGATGTATTCTCTTGACAAATACACACATGCCATCACAAAAACGTGCCCTAAAACATTGATAGAAATTATCTGAAGGAAAACCGCTTCAAACCCTGCGCCTGCCGTTATTGAAAAGGGTGATGACATTTTATGGAAAATGCATCACACAATTATGTGCATATGATCCATTGAATGCTCATCAGAATTCTTTTAGTGTTTTTGGTTAGAAAAAAAATTGACCCTCAATTGCATTTATTTCAATGGCCATCAGTACCTGGATTTCTGGTCTTCACGCGCTGTCACGGTCTCTCTCCCACGTGAATAGCAGGGGTCCACTCTCTATCCTTCCCCATATAATACTGGGCAAATTTGGCTCGTTTCCCTGGCGACCAAGGGTAGCACCTGAGAGTTGGACTCAACTGGCTTCTACTTGCAGCAGGAGCCAGAGTATGGGGGGGCAAAAAAAGCAAGCGCCCATGAAGGTGAAAGAATGAGCCCATTGACTTTTGGAGGCAGCACTTCATCCAGTATAAAAGGGGTCCATGTGATTGGTATATGAGTTGGGATCAGTCGTTTCCGCTCTTGGAGGATTGGCAGCATAAAACTGATTGGAACACCTAAAATAAAGTGCCCCCTTTTAAAATTAATACATTTTGTTTCAAACACATTTTTCACGCAGTCATTTCTAATAATGCTCCTGCTGAATATTCATCCAGGTCACATCACAAGCCTGATCAAAGCAACTATGCTGGATTCTGCCCTGTCTCGCTTGGTCGTTGTTAACGCCATCTACTTCAAAGGCTTGTGGAAGTATCGCTTCCAGCCTGAAAACACCAAGCTGAGGCCCTTCACTGGGGGCGATGGCCAAGTATTTAAGGTTCCTATGATGTCCCAGCTATCAGTCTTCAACATTGGTAAGTCATGGTGATCTGTGCATTTTTTTTTTTTTTTTTTTTTTTGGTTACTAAATAACATTTCTGGTACTGTAAGGATTGTGGTCATAAGACATCTTGAATTTAGTGCAGATGTGTACAAAAAATTTTGGAATAACGGTGTTACTGGCTCAGCCATTCACTAATTGAGTAATAAAATTACTTTTCCACAGTTGCTGATCATATAGTGCCACAATACTTGGGACAAAGTGCCCATGTCATGTGTGAATGCTCTGTTGTATCAATTTTAATAGTCACTTGGTTTATTTCTTATCATTTAGCACCTCACCACAGAGGGATATATTCAGAGTTGCAACTGCCTGATTTGCTAGCCCTATTATAGTGCTTCGAACCCATTGCACAGCTCATGCTGTCCTACCCTCATTTACACACTCGCTAAATTGAAAGCTTATAACTTTATCCATTCATCTTTTAATCTGCTTATCATCACAAGGTCACGGGCATGCTGGAGGCTATCTTCAGGCAGTAGGCGGGGTACACCCTGAACTGGTTGCTAGCCAATCGCAGAGCGCACATAAACAAACAACCATCCGTGGTCGCAATCGCACCAAAGGACAATTTAGAGTGTTCCATTAACCTGCCATGAAAACTCCACACAGGAAGACCAGAGCTGGAATCGAACCCTGCACTGTGAGGAGGATGTGCTCACCAGTCGCCCACCCTGCCTTTATAACTTTGATTCCCAAATTAATTTTATCTGAACACATTTTACCCTTCAAAAGTCAGATGGGCATTCACCCACAAGCACAGGCATCTTGTTTTCTAAAGGCGGTACAAGGGGCATGTGCCAAGGCACGAATCCACTGCCCCCAACATCCCTGTTATCAAGTAGAGTACAACTTTATTGTCAAATGCGCTGTATGTGCAACATACAGCACAGATGAAATTTCTTCCTTCTCAACCAGACAACAAGAGGAGCCACTGCGGGTGTCCGCGCCGCTATCAAAAGAGCAGTTAACATAAAATGACAAAATAATACAACACATAAGACACAGTTGTGCAATCTTAACCACTTTTCCTGCATACACTTTGTTGTTTGAAGCAGTTATCGATGAAAAAGGAGCGAATCAAAGTGTCCTTTTCACCAGTGGATCAAAGACATCATGCTGAAAATGTGCACACGTCTGCTACAAGCTAAGTTTGCAAGCAACAAGAAGCTCTCGCGTCCATGAACGAAAAAGAGATTGGCTCTCATCTCCTGTCCCATGTAAATCCGCTTCAATTCCAAGCCGCGACTCCCAGTCCCACATACGCATCGGCGCTGACGCTCCTTCTCATCATTGGCTCCTCTAGCCATGCATGCATGCATGCATGCATCCATCCAGCCGCAGACCGTCCAACAGCACCGATCTTTGCACTGAACAAAGCGGGGCTGTGAAAAATGCTGCCCATTGCAGGCGCAAAACGCAATCGCCGCAGGGCTGTCCAGCAATGACAGTAAAATGGCACCGACCTTCTTCCCAATATAAATCGGTGCTGGTATGCGTGTGCTGCCGAGAAGGCGCATCCACGAAGTACAGTTATTATAAATGTAAAAAGACCCTGGAAAAAATCCAATTTAATGGACATTCAACATGTCTATTAAAAGTATCAGAGGCAACATTGTCTTGCTTTTTATAACATGGGTACATTAAATGAGTATACTCTGTTGAAAAAGTATTGAAATACTGCAGTGTATATTTTGTCTCATGCACTGCATAATGAACATTATATACAGCATGCGTCTATCACACTCCCCGCACCACCCCTGGTGCCTCGTGCATTGATGTGTACGCAAATCTTAAATATTCTTCACCAGGCGTAGCCAGCACTCCCCAGCAGGTGGCGTATAAGGTGATCGAGCTGCCCTATCATGGCAACAAGACCAGCATGCTGATTGTTCTACCCACTGAGGAGGATGTGCCTCTATCCCACATAATCCCACACATCAACACAGCCACTGTGCAGAGTTGGGGAAAACTGATGCACATGCGGAAAGTGCACCTTCTCCTTCCCAGGTAAAATGCATGATTACACTCAAACCACAGTTCCAACTTGCTCAATTGAATATGGCAACTAATGTGCTGGTGTTTGTTTATGTCTCTAGATTTACTGCGGATTTGGAGGTGGATTTAAAGGCCCCTTTGTCTGTGCTGGGTATGACAGACATGTTCCGTCTGGACAAAGCAGACTTCAGGCACCTGAGTGAGTGAAAGTACCGTCAATCCCATTCCAAATATTACATGATGAATTTTATGTACAGGGGATTTAGTTAGACATGAGCAAAGCTTGAAAATATGGAGGGAATGTTGGCTGTTTACTGCTGAGAGCTTGTCAGACCAATGTAATAGGTTTCGACATTTGGTGTGAAAGTAAAAAAAACAAACTTCCCCTCTCCATTTACGGATGACGCTTCAGCGCACTGTTGCCACCCAGTGGTGTAAAATAATAAGACATGATTCCTGCTCCATTTTCTTTACATTTTAAACCTGCACAAGAAATTGGTCCGTTCGTGGTCCTCTTCACTCAAAATGCACACAGTAAATTTTGCAAATACTGCAGTCTCTATAAATATTTAGCTCTTGAGTATATTTGCTTTCATCTGGAATTGTGTGTGCTGCCTTAGGTTCAGAGCCTGTATACATCTCCAAAGCCCTCCAGAAAACCAAAATTGTGGTGAATGAAGATGGAACAAAAGCATCAGCTGCCACTGGTCGGTGTTTTGGTGAAACTGCTGTGCATTTTTTGATTGATATGCTCTATTGAATATGAATTTTTAATGCTTTTTTCCCCCCTCATGTTCAGCTGCAATTTTGATGGCTCGGTCCTCTCCTCCTTGGGTTTCAGTGGACAGACCTTTCCTCTTCCTCATTCGCCATAACCCAACTGGTACAGATTTTTTTCTCCTCTTCATATCTGTGGTTACATTGCATTAAAATCATGCAGATTCCTGCACTTTTCACTTTTCCACAAGAAAGCCTTGCATCTTATGTTTATTTCCCCCAGGTACACTCCTCTTTATGGGTCAAATCAACCAGCCCTGAAGTCAATGTCCGCTGTGCAGTCCCCCCGCCCCTAGTGGTGTTGTAGAATGATGGGAATTTGCTTGCCTGCCCACAGATGAACACACTTCAGCTGTAGATATTTGTCATCTTGCCTTTTGTTAGTAATTACCAGAAATGCATGACATGCCTTAAGTTGTTTTTTTTTTTTTAATTCCCTCAGCTATATGTATTTTTTTTAACATACTGAATTTGTTTTGTGTATTTTATTAACTCTGGAGTAGCATAAAATGTTGACTATAATTTGTTTTATTTTGTCCATTTCAATAAATATCACTCCAGTCAAGTTATGGCGACGCGTGTCCAATCTTGAGGTGTTGCCTGCAGCGTTTCAAGATTTTCCTCCACTAAGAAAGGTTTCTGTTGTAATTCAGACTTCATTTTGGAGCAATAAATACTCATTTCTGAACTGCTGAAACAGATTGGCTTGTAATAACTTGGAGAATCTGACAAGGTTCTTAAATATGACTTGTTTTTGACATTTTAATCTTTTGACAAAGTGTAATCCATACTTTTAAATGAGAGTGATAGATCTCATCTGTTCAGTTTAAATTTCTTAATGAATACAATTGTAAATATTCTAATTGCCAAACTAGGGGTCAAATTTTGTTTTAGTAGCTTATTTATTCCATTCTGGATGCCAGGCCTCAAATGTTAAATGAACTCTTGGCAAATGTTTCAGGATGACATTTGCCCAAACAAAAGAGATCCGCAGGGAGAAAATGCTAAGCACAGCAAGGTCTTTCTTTAGTGGCAGCGCCATACAAAATTGGATTTAATCAGCCTTTGAGGTTTTTCAAAGTAGCCTCAAAAACTGGGTCATTCATTCTTGAACTGAATAACAAAGAATTATATTTGGGAACATGTCATTCGGTGGACAGGCAGTTTTGAAACACTCGTCTTACTGACTGTAAAAATGTGCCGTTTAGAGTAAAAATATTAAACTTTGAGCATTTGGCACAACCTATTGGACAAAACGAACGTTTGAATCGAACATGCACTACACAAATGTAAATGCACCACTTAGAAAAGTACATTTAAAATATGCAAATTACAACGCAAATAAAAAAAATGGCTGGATGATTTCAATGTTTACACCAGGGGTGTCAAACATACGGCCCGCGGGCCGGAACCGGCCCCCAAGGAGGTTTGATCCGGCCCGCGGGATGATTTAAAAGTGAAAAAAAAATGCATTAAAGACACAGAATGAATATTTTAAATAAAATGCAATTCGTGGATTATCCGCTAGTGGGCACACTGTTTTGATCACAGTTAGAAGACAACATTGTTTTGATCGGGGAAGAAAACAGCAGTCTCAGTCTGTCACCGAGATAGACCCAACGCAGCAAATGATATGAAAGTGCCAATCAATGCTTCTTGAGACCAAAACAAAGGAAAGAGATGATATTTTGGTGATTCATAGCACAGTATGGTATAATGTTAATGGTCTGGCCCACTTGACATCTACCGAGTCCGTATGTGGCCCACAATGTGAAATGAGTTTGACACCCCTGGTTTACACCATTTCCCCAGTTAGTCTCCAGCCTCAAAACCAGCGGCTCACTTGTATTCTGAATGGCTCCCATCAGTCACGTGCCCAATGAGACTTCGGCATTTTATGGCGCCCTTGAATCAAAACCAGTGAACTAATATGAAAAAGCTACAGGTTTACTCTTCGCATTTCCATTTGCATGACTTTTTTCACATTTCACAACTCACACAGTGTTAAGGATATTCGGCTTTCAGGTGTTTTGATCCATGAACAGACCGCCCCCCCCCCAAAAAAAAGAATCCAGGTCAATTGAAATTATTTTAAGTCTTCATGACGCGTGCATTTTGACAGCAGTTTGAAAGAAGCACTGGAAGAGTTCTGAAAGTGTCAAATGCGACATATCAATTATTACTGAACCAGAAAATTTACTGGACTGCGGTTTCTTGCAGAACGGCAGGTTACACAAAAAGTACTGAAACATTGAACAGTTGTGCATTATGGTGACCTGTAAATGTTATATAGTGCATTGTGTCATCCTGAAATGACCCCCAAAGTCGAATACTGACTCTGACTCGTATCATCGCTAACTTGTGGTGAGTACGACAGCGCCAGTCACGCTGCGCGGATTGCTGGGCTCGCGCCATGCAGGCATTACGGTAATAGGAGCAGCGGCTCTGTGTGTCAGCTGATCCTCCTGCACTGGGCGAGGAGAATTAGCAGCAGGAAAACATTGTTGCTGGCTAGTTAAACCATGGCTGCGGAGATCCATTCGAGGCCTCAGAGCGCCAGGCCAGTTCTTCTGAACAAAATCGAGGGACACGCAGACGCTGTCACAGTTGCCGTTTTAATCCCGAAGGAAGATGGAGTGATCACTGTCAGCGAAGACAGGTGAGTTTTCCAACGTAGCTAATGCTCATGTTAGCGTTATTGGAATAGCCCGCGGATTTGCAATATTTTGGATGTATATCGTGTACAAGTAGTTTGTACAAAAGCAAAAAAAAAAAAGTTAGAGGCAACTGAAACACCTATAAAACTGCGAATACTCAGATTTTAGCTGAGACGTTTTTTGTTTGTTTTGTTTTGTTTTTGCTTTAGAGGTTAGCTTTGCGACTATTTGAATAAATTAATGCAATCAAGTTTAGTTGGTTGAAGCTGGTGTGCTTCCTAAAACCCTTTTAGTCACGGATATTTGATGGCTTTCATTAGTTTTGTCGCTTTTTGAATGAAGGTTTTGGGGATACTGAACAGCTAACTGTAGCAGTAAAAAAAAAAAGTTTATTTTCTTGTGTTCCAGTCTAATCCCTTAAATCAATGCTTGTGTGTCTCCTATGTGTTTCGATTCAAAACTCTGTGCGTATGCATGAACGAGACCGCACAGTTGTTTGTCACTGCTATCAAAGGAACAGCCACAGGCTGTGTCCCGTGAACATGAACATCCCATTTGGGTGGGGACAGAAAAACTTAAAGGTCAGATGTGAAATAAACCTGGCCAGCCATATTTTGAGTAATAAAGGGTAAAACTATTTCAAGCATACTTTCGATAGTTTTTTTTTTTTAATACCCAGGTTCATAGTTGGACCCTTAGCAACACGCTTAACAACTAAAATGCCCTTGTTCGGCAATCTCCGGCGAGTGACGTCATTTACAGAATGCCAGTCGCCAGTCAGCCATTGTCATGCATTGTTGATTGTCCTTTTGACTGATCTTTGCCGTTGTTATCTAGTTATTTGGCGAAATGTCTCAGCTTCGTGTGGCGATGCACTGTTCACATTCAGCCAAACCGTTGTTTGAAAGTCCAAAAGAAAAGAATAGGGCACCTAAATGTACCCTAAAATTGGCAAGATATAGTTTCATTCTCACAAAAGAATTTCCCATCAGTGTCGACGAGCCTTCTTTGTTTCAAGCAATTATAGACCTCTGTTTTCTCAGCCGGATTTGCACAAAAAGTTGGTGTACTAATCAATGACTACCTGCTGGTATTCATGAAGACATTTGAATTCAAAGTATTGTACGTGCACATGTATGTGACCCTGTACGAAAACATTAAAAGTATATGAGTACATGGATGGAATCCTCTCTAATGCTTAACAACTGTTGGGGAACAGAGTCGACCTTACTCTTCCTCCGCGTTTTCGTTAATTTCGGACGATGAGGATTTTGGTTATTCAAATACAGGCTGGAGCCGATGAACAGTACCTTCGAAGGTTTTATTTGCAGAATATTCTGGGCACCCACGGTCTACAGACAATGGCTGCGGATCACGAGTGCGAAGGTGTAAGAGGTTCACAACACATTTATATCGTCAGGGGTGGTACCGAAACTTAGGACGTGGCATCGGACTCTGTTTCTCCTAAACTCATCAGCTTGTATCAACTGGTGCTTTCTGAAGTTCTGTGTGTCTCCACATTGTCTCCACAAAGGAAGAACTGATATCATCAAGTGATTGATGATTCAAGGGTGATGGATGATTCAAGGGCGCAAAGGTCTACTTGCAGGCATGAGGATGTGTGTCTTCTCATGCTGACATGGGATAGTACTACAGAATATATAATAATACACACTTCACAACTAACAATGCTGCCGATATAATGCGCGGAATGGCCGACAACACAACAGAATCACTCTAGCAATGACAATGTAGGACATCAACCCACGAGGACATGTGCTGTCAGTGCTTGCGGATATACATGGACCAAGTGGTTAATATCATTGTGCACAATTTACGGCACAGCGAATTGCAAACAAAAACACTAGGCTAGGAACTGCAGCCTATGTAGCTTACCGTTCTTCCAGTCCCGATGGGTCTCGTCTCCACTCCATGTCCGGCCATTCAGGCACACCATTTTCCGCATCCTCAGCATCTGGCTGGTACATGTATGCCCAACATACATCCTGCCAACAGCTTCTTCTTCCTCCAACTCTTCAAACACCTGTATCCCCTCAGATAACTGTGACACATCGCTTTCCGAATCAATTTCTGACTGGCTTTGTACATTTCCATAGTGAGGCCTGCTATTGTTGTCTCAAAGTGGCATCACACTTCCGAGTTTGACACTCGTCAGGATCTCACTTCAGGAAAACAATTACTTTGTCAAATTAACAAAATAGAAAATATGTTTTTGTGCTTTGTTTAATGTATTTTATTTAATTATTTTACTTTTGACATAAAAATATTTCGTTTTGGATTTTCTAAAATGACTTCTTATGTAAAACACTTATGGTTGGATAATGTCAGACAACTGTAGCTAGTTTTTCTTAAAATTCACATGCACATCTCCACTCATGTCCACTTCAACCTCTGAAAATATCAAAACAACTTTTTGACACCAGAGTACCACCTAATAAAGATTCTTAGCTCTCTAAGTACCACCATAAATTCTTAGGTTAAAAAGCCTAGTATCGTAGGGCTATGTCTTCATCAAAACCAAAGCCAAAGGCTTTATTCCTCCAAAGTCATATGATTGGAATCGACTGTAACACAATGGATTGTGGAATCGACTTTTGTCTTCCACAGCTGCTTCAGATGCTTGCCCCTCCGCGCAAGTTGCACGATTGTTGTTTGCTGCTGCAGTCTAAAGTACGCTAGAGCCTACTGCAGTGCGCTTGAACAGCTTTCGCCCTTTCCATATGCAACTAGTGCACATACAGTATTTTACAAGCGTGACTAAGAAACAACTTGAAGTAAGCACACACATTATTCTTTTTTAATTATCTTTGTTATTTGTTGTTGTTCGCTATCTGCTGAACTGTGCATAAGTGCCGGTACTGAAAATGATGTATTGTTTCATTGTTGT